GTAACACAGATCACATTGTAAGTTACTGGATATAAAAATTATCGGACGCAACGCCATTTTTATTTACGTTATACGCATACAACACGGACTGTATTTACTACATGGAGGCGCCCTATACTCACGGTATTATGAGGTCTACCGGCGCAAAAAGTGTCTCACCCATGGATGATAATACAGCGCTCAATTAGAAGGTTATTTTTGTTCAATTAAATCGCGCGTCATTTTCGTTTCTCGCTGCTGAAGCAGCGCCGGATGGTTGAAATTGAGGGCAACAGCGAAAGGTCCCCTCACCGTACTTGGTTCGACCCCAGCCAGCCACGACGCCCTCGGTGCCGACAATGTCCTTTGTCGTAATCTTTGTCTCGGTGGCCTCCGGTATGCAGATGGGCGTGACCGGGTAGCCACCGCTCTGCAGCGGCTTGCTCATTTTCAGTATGGAAATGTCGTCGCCGTGCACGATGTCCTTGAACAGCGGGTTCTGGTGGATGGCCGCCACCTGCGATCAGGTGCTCTTGCTGCTCGCTCTGCACGCGGTCGGGGTCGATCTCGCTCAGCCCGAAACTAACGCGCAGGTCGTGGGCCACCTTGCTGGAAAAGGAATGGACGGGGAGATGCGGCATGCGAGGGAGAAAGGCAAGAAACGTTGACCGTCGTAGCACGTACAGGCTCTAAAGGTGATCACACGTTGGTTATGGAGTGCGAAGAGGGCGGAGGTGGTGAGAAGAGAAAAAAAAAACACCCAAGTCGTAAAGTCGTAACCTGTTACACTAAAAGCAAGCAAAGGAAAAAAAAAATAATAAGGAAATACATCATGTTTCTGCGGATTTAATGAATAATTATGGACGCAATATACGCAATATACGCAATATACGGGAAGTGATGGGTGCCTTTAGAATGTATAGTTCTGGTTCTTTGTTTTTGTTTTTATTTGTCCGCTGTTTACGCGTTGTCGCACGCTTAGCTGTCATGTAGTGAAGTGACGTTTATTACACGAACGTGATTAACAATCAGGAAGAGAGTGTACTAAAATGAAGACTACCAAAGTATCTTTTCTCCAGCTCTCCGGTTTTCTGCTGTTTAGCACTGATATTTGGACAGTGACCTTGTTGGTGCAGCGAGTATCCTGTATACTAATCTGTTTGTTTTACTGTGTTATATCGGTATTGTGAAAAATCACTTTTGCCCAGTTTCCCTAGGATTCTGTCGGAAGACAACTTTGTCGGCAACACCTACGTATGAATTATGATTTCAGTAATACCGAGGTTCTTGCTGTTTCCATTACATTGTCTATTTTAAAAGCTTGGTTCGGCACGTTATGCACGCATTTATGCTTTAGACGAATGTATGCATTTTTTTTGCGTTTTTGTACTTTCAGGTAAGCACTGTTAGAACTTTATCGATTAGGGTTTTCGATAAGGGCTCATAAGGTCGATGGGTGTAGCCCCAAGTTCGAGGCTCCACTGGCTACTGCCACGTGCCTGACGTGACGCAGAAGCGCAAGCTGTGCACATCAGGTTCAGGAGCTGAGGAGCTGTGCCTGTGCCTCCCGTCGCTCGAGAATGTTTGAGAGATTAAGCTGACCCCAAAAAAAGGTAGCTAAATTTAATGACTCCTACAAAACGACTCTTCGTGAAGTTCTTGCTCACCGGCGAGAAACGCAACAAAACACAGCACCCCCTTCCTCTTCCTCACGAATCATTACAAGGGGGGGGGGGGGGGTGATCGATAACTGTAGGATTGAAAGGGTGGTCATTCCCCAACTTTTACAAATTAAACAAAATTTTTCTAACGCTGTATGGGCACACATATGAGTGTTGTTTGTCGGCTCACCATCACTATCGAATTTCGTGGAGAGGTCCGAACCGGCCCCCAAGTTTAGCTAAGCAATAAATAAAGGGTGCTTTTTTTTTTCCTTCTTGGTATTTTTGCGCTGAACTAGCAATCTACGCTGCTTATTAGTAACGAGGTATATTTATCTACGAATTTAAACATACCTATCTGAAGTTGCTCGCCCGAAGTACTCCTTGTTGATTTAGTCGGTTATATTGCCCCAAGGATCAAGTGCAAGAAATTACACATACACAAGAAAGAGACCCAACGGTGTTTGTTGTCGGTTGCTTTTCTCTCTCATGTATGTGTAATTTTTTCTTGCTCTGGATTCTTGCAGCGATATTGGAAGGAGCGCCCGTATTTGCATGTCACACTCATTAAGCTATTTTGCAAAAACGTTACCCCACTGGACACGATATAGCATTGTAATCCAAGGCTGCTAATGTTCACAGCCATTACAGAGGAAAATTGTTGAGAAATATTGGCCAAATCAAGTACCGTTGTCAGATACCAGTGCACGCTACTGAAAATTTCAACTTGCCAGTGTCTTCAGCGTCAGCTCACTGGATTTCTTCGCAAGCAGGAGCATGCTATATAGCGGATCATATATATGAACGGCTGTGTTGGTTTTTATTAAGTAAAGAAGCGATGGCACATCGAAATGTTATTTAGCCGTTGAGCGGACGCCTTACTTGCGTGTACAGTGACCAGCTGTCAAGACGAAAAGCCAGGATATGATGACGCCACCACAGTACGGCCGCTGTCCATATCTCATCCAAACGCCAACCTGGTGATTTGAATAGCAGAACAAGACGTAATTGTGAAGCTGAGGAAAACATAGCGATTTCACGAGTAAAAAGGTTGCATAAAAAATGGCATCGCTAGCTTTTTGCTGGTATGAGTGCAAACGAAGATTAACCGAGCTTTGTTGCGTGGTACCTAGCCTCCCATGCATGCAAAGCCATCTAGTTTGTTTTAGCAAGCTTAGTAGCAGTCAGCATTTTCTGTAAAGATTCCATGGCTTTGTGTAGGGTACAAACCGAATTTGTTGTTTTGGCTGACTTTACTGCCTATTTTTAATTGACTTCTGTTTTGATACACACGTGCCCAATTGTATTAGAATAACACACCAAAAGGCCCAGCGTGGCCTCGTATGGTGAAACTCTGTGCATAAGTTATTTGTTCCAATTTCTTTGAAAATTTAACCACAGATACGCTGTAGCAGTGAGATGAAAATAAACTGCACAAGTAAACGTGCATCTTTTCCACATATTTTCAACGACAGATGCTTATAATTACGGGAGCATTTATGTCTATGTATTTGTGGACACGGGCTAGTCGTAAGAAGCGTTCCTAAAGCTTCTGTGTTTTCGAAATGTAAGGCTGACACGCGTATATCAGGTATGTAAAAACCAGCAACGCTTTATCGTTCCCAACCTGTTTTGGGGTCGATGGCGGAATCCGGTTGCCGAGAGCAAAGGCTAAAGACAGTCGCGTTCAAGGATAACGCTCTAACGTTGTGACTTTGCCTCCGAAAATTCAACGCATTCGTTTGATCTCCGAACGCGAACAGTAAGTATATCAGATTGAAACCAGTTTCATCGTGAATTCCGACAAGTTTATGAATTCTATCATGTGGCGTTCGCTACTGCACTTTTTTAACTTTGTCGGATGTAGGGTTCTGCGGATGTTTGAGAATCGCAAAACAAGTGAGAGGTGACAACACCAATGCAGGCAGACTGCCTGCAGGCAGCAGTCGTTGTAATATCTTTGAAAAACCTCTACAAAACGCTAGGAAATGGTATTATTTGTGCCACCACTAGCATTACAGGTGTCGCAACTGAACTGTCAACGAGAAGAAACCCCTAGCGTTTGTACCTACAGCTGACAAGTGACTCATCACATCATAGTACAATTTAGCTTTACCAAAAAAAACGATCAGCTCAATCTACTTTCTTCGGTTTATAAAGCATCAAAACGCATGGTGTGAACCACGATAAAGTCACTTACCGTCCAAGGATAACGCTCGAGCGTTGTGACTTTGCCTCCTACAATTCGCCGCATTCGTTCATTGGGCACACCACAGCGCTTCGTAACGTAAGTTTGCATGTAAGAGTTTGTAAACTGCTTCTTGAGGCCACTATGCATTTTATTCGGCTTCTTTGTTGTTTCTGAGCTCGGCTTAAAAGTAGAGTGCGTGTCCAAACCCACGCTGCCTTGTCCAGAAGTTTCATTTCCATTCAAGATGGGTACAACTTCAATTACCACGTCGACTCCACCTTCCGCGACTGGGCTGCCTTGTGGAACCACGACGGCTTCTTGCACAATATCGCCAAGATTATGCGAAGGTGGCTTAGTGGATGTTGTTGGCTTCGGACTCGTCACCAAGATGACGTCGACGATCACGCTGCTTTCGGTGGTAGTCGTCGAAGTGGTCGTGTCATCAGTAACCGCCTTGGTAACATGCGTGCTTGGTCGTTGAGTGGTACTCGTCGTAGTGATGTGGCCGCCGCCGACCACCGCGGCAACCTGAACGCTCGGGCGTTCAGTGGTGCTTTCCATGGTGGGCACCTCACTGCATACTGGTTTGGTCACGGGCATGCTTGGGCGTTCAGTTGTGCTCTTCGCAGTGGTGAAGTTTCCGCCAACCGCTTCTGTCACGGAAATGCTTGGGCTCATTGTGGTGCTCGTTGTGGTGGCCACTTGAACACTTGGGCGCTCAGTTGCGCTCTTCATTGTGGTCCCCTGGGTACTTGGTTGCTCAGTGGTGCCCTTTGTAGTGGACAAGCTACCACTGGTTGTCTTGTTCACTGGCACACTTAGGTGATCAGTGGTGCCTTCTTTCTTAGTAGCCTGGGTGCTGGCGACATGACTAGTACTTTTCATAGTTGTCAGCTGTACACTCGGACGTGCAGTGCTAGTGTGCGTGGTGGTCGCCTGGTTAGTTGCCGCACTGGTCACCGTTACACTTGGACTCGAGGTAGTGGTCATCATGGTGCCTGCCTCGCTGACGGCAGTATTATTCCCCTGGACACTTGGGAGACCAGTTGTGCTCCTTATGGTTGTCAGTTGTGTGCTCGGAAGCTTAGTGGTGGTCTGCACGGTGGTGACTCTGAGTGTCTGGGTGCGGAGTAGTGCTCTCTAAAGTGGTCACTTGCGTTACTGGGCGTTCAGTTGTGCTCTTTGGGGTAGTCGCCAGGAATGGCTGGGCGTTTGGTAATATTCGTGGTCATCTTAGTGAACGGGGCTTCAGTTGTGCTCTTCGTAGACTTTGCAGTCCAGTTTGCCGCCTTGGTCACCGAAGTGCTTGGCCTTTCAGTGTTGGTCTTCATTGTCGCCTCACCACTGATAGGCTCTGTAACCTGGACTGTGGGACCTGCGGTTGTGCTACTCGTGGTTGTAATCTGGGTACTCGGAAGCTTAGTGGAGGTCTGCACGGTGGCCACTTGTTTCACTGGACGTGCAGTGGTGGTCGTTAGAACTGATGTACTTTTGGTGGTGTACTCTGTTGTAGTCTCAACGACTGGGCGTGCCGCCACGTTCTTCGTAGTGGCTTCAGCACCACCAGCTGCCTTGGTGACTGGGTCACTTGGGCTTTTAGTTGTGCTTAGCATGGTAGTTGCGGGACTTGTTGTAGGGGTCATATCGTCGCTGATCGTTTTGGTGGTTGTATTCTTGTTAACCGTAACGGCTGTAGTATCTGACAGGAGAAAGAAAGAAGTTGTAAGCGACAAATCTACACGCCGTCAAACGCTCTGCACCCCACTAAGGAGATGTGTGGATGGTAGCCATGGACGTGTGTAGGGTTCTGTAGAAAGAAAGCCAAACGTCCGCTAAAACATCACCCTGTGCAGGGTAGCAAACTAGACACAGGAACCAGGTTAACTCCCTGCTTTTTCTTTATTCTCTCACTCTCACCACGGACTCCTTCTCTCGTTCCCACTGACATCGGTCGAGTTTGAAAAAAAAGAAGCAAAGCTTCGCAAAGGTTGCGAAAATGAAGACGAAGTTATGACGCGCTTCTCACGATGACCTGCCCTGGTCCACAGCTTTCCAGGAGTGAAGGTGCGACGTACACAGTTCCTTGGCCCTCAATCGCCATTATCGTCAAAAGCCTGCATCGTCACTGATCACCTAGTACTTCAATCAACGAAGAGACAGATCCGACTGAATAAGGGTACGGAGTACGTTTGGCTCCTCCCTTGCATAATTAAGGCGGGAGGGGGGGGGAGCACCATCTGCCTTGCCTCGCCTGCGCACACGCCTATGTTTAAATCCTACATTCTGAAACAAACTTGGGGAAGGTTAATCAAAGCCTAATTGAAAATAACTTGACAGGATATAGGTTTTGTATTCTTGTAGCGTAAGACAACTACTGAAATGGGACAAAAAAAAAAACGGGAAAACTAAGAAAAGCGATCTGTTTAAATTGCGGTCTCGGCTATTCTACATCTTGATTTTTCCTTAAGTTTCCCCGTATTGTTGACTTTTCTTTGGAATACCCTCATACCCAGGAGGATCTAAAGACAAACTTATGGGTATCTTGTTTTTTATTTTAATTTTGAAAAGCTTTATCCTGTGGTGTACACGTATCCCGAAGGAGTACGGCCACCAGCGTGGGTCCGGTCTTAGCGAGCCGCAGGGCACGCGTTAACCGTCACCGTGGCGGGAAACACGATACTGCTCAAGTCGCAACACTTTATTGTGGCAACACCAAACGCAGTACAGCCCGTTGTAAAAAGGCGCGGCGGGAAAGCAAATAGGCTTATCCACGCCACGGGCACAAAGTACTACACTGGGTGCCACGAGCACGTCTCCGCGGTAAAGGTAATCCACGGAGACACCGGGACAAAGGGGCCCGGTTGCTCGAGCGAGGGCAAAGGCGCTCGCGTTGGCTTCGAAGGGAGACGGGTCGGCGTAGCGAGGCCACGCACTAGGACACCGTACTGCCCTTCGGCCGTGAGTACGCAGCGGGGCAACAAAAGGTGAGCGTTCGCATCGGGCGCGAGGCGCCGTCAGCGAAGTGCGACGAGCCCCGAGCGACGGGACTCGACGGACGAAAAAGAATGCCTGGCTCACCGTTTGAAGTCCCGGACTGTACTCACTGCTCCCGACGCAGCGCGCGAAAACCTCTTGCGAGTCCCCGCGCGCGGCGCCACAGTCAACATCCGCTACCGGGTGAGGGAGTTAAACGTCACTCCGCGCTTCCCAGCGCGGCAGACAGCAAAGGAGGGCAGACATGTCGGGACATGAGAATGGCAGAAAAGGCGGGAAAGCCCGCGCAAAGGCAGCGGGCCAGCCTCAATTCCCACATCCCCCTCTTCCAAACTTGTCCTTTACCGGTCTGCAAAAGACAGCCGGACGTCACCCATGCAGTTAAAATGACACTGCTATGAGCGGTAGCTAACCTCAGTCCAGCCCTGCTACTGCTGCTTAAAAAATATATGATTACGAAGGAGAAACAAAAACATAAATAACAAAATAAACACACGACACTATAAAGATAACTGCGGAAGGGAGCACAGAAAAGTGGGACTAGTGTTCGTGTTGGTGCTGAAGTGGGATAGCGTCCACTGCGCGGAGGGGCGGAAAAAGGGCGTGAGTGTCCGCTGGGTGCGATGCCCGAGTGCGAGGTCAGAGGTACGGGAGGGGGCTCACTGATAATCGGTTCATAAGACCGGGCGGCTTTCCAACCCTTGGCTCAACCGTTTGTCAGACGTGGCAGGCACGGAATAGCGATAAAAGCCACGCTTCGTGCCGGGCCAGGTCACAACATTGCTCAGTTTGCAAAAACTTTCGAGCCACTCAGGTGACCGGCCATGGATTCGTCGTGAGAGGATCGCAACAGTGCGGCTCTCAGACTTTTGGGCATAACCACCTTAAACGGGTCGCTGGACTCGTCGTCAGTGGCTATATAGTTCAGCAGGAGCCCGTCATGGTCCAGCAAAATGAATCCGCCGGGGACTCAGCGACACACGCTGTTTCAGCCCCCTAATAGCGCCCGCCGCAGAACAAGCAGCGTAACGGCGCGCCTCTCAAGACGGTTTAACGGCGCCCGCCGCAAAGCAAGCAGCGTATACGGCGCTCCGTCCCTCCGAGACTCGAAACGGATCACTCTGCTGAGCCTTCAGTAGCTCTTCGCTGCCGAAAGCAATTCCCATTCTCCCAAATGGGGGAGTCTGGTATCGCGCCCACTCAGGGCCGCAGCAACCGCCGCGTGAGTCGGCGTTACGGGTTCGCTCTCGGCCTCGTGGCCTTCGGAAAGCTCCCCCGCTCGGCCGCTTCGCGGTGCGCCGCTTACCTGGTTAGCAGCCAAGGTTTGTCCGCATGGGGACTCACCCTTCTCGCCGAATGGCGGCGAAGCTGCTGTTTCGCCCCCGACGCTTGCATGTGCTAAGGCACCGCGAGCGGCCGTCGCACCGAAATCCAGGTTCTCGGCAGACAACAGGGGGCACGAGATAGCGCGTCAGCTACCACGTAGGAGTGTATTCACCACAAAAAGGGGTGACGACACAGGCGAGCGCCGAAGGGCGCCCGTCGATAGAGGCGGTGGCCTCTTGGTGCAACGCGGCATGCCACGAAGCAGACATGTTGCGACGAGCCCGAATCGCGCAGGCGAACTGACTCGCTAAGAGCAGTCAAAAGCTAGAGCTTTTGACACCGCGTTGGGCGCCAGTGTGGTGTACACGTATCCCGAAGGAGTACGGCCACCAGCGTGGGTCCGGTCTTAGCGAGCCGCAGGGCACGCGTTAACCGTCGCCGTGGCGGGAAACACGATACTGCTCAAGTCGCAACACTTTATTGTGGCAACACCAACGCAGTACAGCCCGTTGCAAAAAGGCGCGGCGGGAAAGCAAGTAGGCTTATCCACGCCACGGGCACAAAGTACTACACAGGGTGCCACGAGCACGTCTCCGCGGTAAAGGTGATCCACGGAGACACCGGGACAAAGGGCCCGGTTGCTCGAGCGAGGGCAAAGGCGCTCGCGTTGGCTTCGAAGGGAGACGGGTCGGCGTAGCTAGGCCACGCACTAGGACACCGTACTGCCCTTCGGCCGTGAGTACGCAGCGGGGCAACAAAAGGTGAGCGTTCGCATCGGGCGCGAGGCGCCGTCAGCGAAGTCCGACGAGCCCCGAGCGACGGGACTCGACGGACGGAAAAGAATGCGTGCCTCACCGTTTGAAGTCCCGGACTGTACTCACTGCTCCCGACGCAGCGCGCGAAAACCTCTTGCGAGTCCCCGCGCGCGGCGCCACAGTCAACATCCGCTACCGGGTGAGGGAGTTAAACGTCACTCCGCCCTTCCCAGCGCGGCAGACAGCAAAGGAGGGCAGACATGTCGGGACATGAGAATGGCAGAAGAGGCGGGAAAGCCCGCGCAAAGGCAGCGGGCCAGCCTCAATTCCCACAATCCAAATCTAATAATTGCGGGTACATATTTCACCAAAAAGGCAAGTGTATAATAGCCTGCAAACAATTACACCATCTCCCACTAAAGGAAACAATGAATCAGCATGCGAAGCAGTGAAATGGTCAAGGTACCCGTTCGTCGCAGGCACCTTGACCGATGTTAACGCGTCCTTGCAAGTGGAGCGCACCACCGTAGTTTCTGTTGCTGTTACTCGTCCCGAATTCTTGTCGGAGCATGCCACGCAGGTTCGTCGCCACGCCATGCAGGAGCACGATCGGTAATCGTGCATCTGACGCCATCACGTGATTGCTGAGAGAGGGTAAAGAAGAGGCCACTTACGCAGGGCAGAACGCGATAGCGTGTGCTAACGCATTCTGACTAGGATACAACGGGTTGGTTCATTGCTCGTCTACAGAATCTCGCTTCTCGACGACATCACATGATTGCTCAAAAGTGTAAGGGGGAGACGTCACAGCGTCTCACTCAGTCGCTTACACAGGCCTGAACGCGCTATAGCGCGTGAGCGCATTCTGGCAGTGTGTGAGCTAGCTGTGGCGCTTGGTCAGTAAGTGTGGTCATGCACACCGGATTGAACTCGACAATAATCTGCTTCGAATCTGCTAAAATATTGTGCTTTTCCCCACATGTCATGTATATAGTGGGGGGCTCTGGATAACTTCAGGCCCCTGGGCTTCACTTGCCTGCACATGAACCTAAGCGCACAAATGTCGCATTTTGCCACCATCGAAATGCGGCTGCCATAGCTGGGATTCGAACCCACGATTTTGAGCTTAGTTCAGTGCAACATCTTAGCCATGAGGGGTCATGAAAATGAAAGAATGCGTGCCACGTATTATGTAACCATGTCACGCTCCCTCATCCATCGCAAGAGACGTCGGTATAGAAACTCTTGGCTACGACTTAAAATTGCGCGCGGTATATAGCGTGTTTGGAATGTGGCCTAACGGCCCACTTGTAAATGTAATTGTGTCAATGAAAACAATCGAAAACGGGGTTTATTCACATGCCTTCCGTTTTCGCCGTGACAATTCTGCAATTTCGGTAACAATACGCGCCCGCATATGATAAATAAAAACCTTTGGTTATTTACGCACAATATTATTGTATTTCTTGTTCAGAAGTTATGTAGCATACGTGCTGGCAATTGCTGGAATATCTTTACATCGATAAAATCAGAATCAA